CCCACAGTGGGCTGGGCCCTCCCATATCACTCATCAAGAAGATGCCCTTCAGACATGACCACAGGCCAGTCCAATAGAGGCAATTCCCCGACCGAGGCTCCCTCAACCCAGGTGTGTCAAGTTGACACTAAAGCTATCCATCACAGTCACAAAGAGCCAAAAATGAGTTTCCTAAAATAAATCGTCTTGAACATAGTTAGGCTGTCATCCTCACTACGACTCTCCTGATCACATGGCTGTTTGATTGTCATGTGAGAATAAATGTGTGTGACCATGAGAGTGTGCATAATTTCTTCACAGATGAAAGTAACACACTTTCCTGTCACTGAAACAATGAATAAATAGAATAATCCATAAATAATATTTAACCTTTATGAATTTATTTACCCCAGTTACATTAAAGTCAGAACCTGTTTCAAAGATTGACTCTTACATATTCATTATATATTTTCAGCTACAGGATGATCCAGAATTCAAGGATAAAATTAAAGCACAAGCCTTGATATACCCTTGCCTACAGATCATTGATACCCTCACACCATCTTATCGAGAGTATGAACATGGCCCTTTGCTCCCAAAGGAGGTGGCAATCAATTTGGCATCCCTGTATCTGACTAAAGACAAAGAGCTGCCACGGGCAGCACTGAGAAATGAGCACATGCCTCAAGACTCAAGACATCTGTTCAAGTTTGTTAACTGGAGTGTCTTCCTCCCTGAGAAGTACAAAAAGAACCATGTTTACACTGAACCGATTCTTGGAAAACTAAATGCTTCCTATCCAGCACTTGTGGATAGCAGAGTATCACCTTTGCTAGCTAGTGACTCCAAGTTACAGAGTTTGCCATTAACCTACATACTCACCTGTGAACATGATCTCTTTAGAGATGATGGAATTATTTATGCTACACGAATTAGAAATGCTGGGGTTCAAGTCACTCATGAACACATAGAGGAAGGAATTCATGGAGCCCTGTCATTCACCACAGCACCATTGTTTTTAAATCTCGGATTCAGAATAAGAGATAAGTATATTAGTTGGTTAGAGAAAAATCTGTAAATCAACAGTATATGTAGTAAAGCAATTGGAGGTTATATTTTGAAGTATTTTACATTTAAATTAGAAGAAAGATTGCTGTGTAATATGTTCGAGAAAGTTACTTAAATTTCCTATGGTAGCACATCACTTTAATGTATGGTTATATGCAAAAAAAACACAACAGTTTCTAGATATGGCCAGAATCATGAAGACTGGACATAGAGGTTATGACTTTAATCCCAGCACTGAAGAGGCAGAGGTAGGTGGATATCTATGAATTTGAGATCAGACTGATAATACATAACATGTTCCAGGCCAACCAGTGCTACATAGTAAGGCCCTTTAAAAAACTGGATCATGGACGAGCAAAAAACTTTGAAAGTGAAATTACAATGACGTCTGCATGGACTGAATATTGCACTGTTTTTCAATGAAGTCTTCTCAATATATTAATTTGATCTGCTCAATGTAAGTTAGGAATTTTTTTCACTCACATCCTGTGAAGTCTATATGCTACTATCACAAGACTTGAATATTGGAGAAAAAGGTTAACATGTAGACTGAAAATTGTTCCTACAGCCTAAATGTTTGAGCCTTATACTTAAGTTTTAGTGAGATCAGCTTGAAGGTATGTATGTGAACTTCCTTCATGGTTAGACAGTGGACAGTAGTTCTTAATCCAAGATGATTCATAGCCACTTTGATTGCAGTCAGAATTAATCAGCATTATTTTGAATTTTTGGAGTTAATCCTTAACCCACTTAGAGGCTGTAGATCTAGGAAGTTGTCAAAGTTGATGATCTTCAGACCTGTGTGCATCACACTCCTATCAACCCCTCACCAATGGCATAAATAACCCAGTTTTTACTAGAAGGCAATAAATTCAATGTATAATTTTCAAAGGTTCCTATGATACTGCTGTTGCTGTATGTGTGTTTCCCGTTTTGTACTTTTTTCTTAATGCTGAGTGAACTTTGAAAAATGTAAGTTCTAATGTATCTGCTGAATTTAATTTATAAACCAATCTTTATCAACATATTTTGTTAGTTTTTTGCTGAAACTTAATCATGTTTTGGTTCATCTCAATGATGATCTGTTCATTAATTCCTCAGATTTCATCATACAAGGCTCTTCTCTGACATTTAAACACTAGCTATTACAAAGAAATCCAGAAAGATTGATTGAAGGGGTACCCCAACCATAAAGTTCTGAAAACAGGCATTCTGGAGACCCTTATCAGGGAAGAATGTAGGCTCTAAATCCTCTACCCAACTTCCATGACTCTACTTACACCCACAGAAGTACTTAATCTCCCTGCTCTTTGGCCCACATGGCTGCTACAGACAGTCCTTTGTCAGTAGTCACCCCTCATTGCCCAATAACAGTCCCTATGGATTATATGAGGTTGGTTGCATTTCCTTCCACCCACAACTCTTTCAACTGCTAATCCTAATATTCACCTGGAGAGAGTTCAAATCCAGGAGAGAGTTCTCTGCTTAAACCTTGTGATTCCTAACATTCATGAATGCCTTTCTTTACTGTTGTTAGTTCCATGATAAGTATGAGACTATAACATTCTTCAGCAACCCTCTGTTTATTTCATTTGTGAAAGAGAAGAAGGGCAAACTATGTTAAACCAGCTCTGACAAAAATGTTTGTCTAAATTAACTATTAATCACAGACTATGCGTACACAGTGTATGCTAAATACTTATAATATCATGCACAAAAAAATCTTCAGACAGTTTGGACCATTGTGCAAGTTTTCGTTCATGGAAGTTCATGATCAAATGTTTTCAATAATAGTCCAGTTTCAAAGAAGCCCAAACAGAGAAAGGATGAAAACCCTGAGCCATTTCTAGTTTATAATACAAATATTTTAGTAAATCTTCTAAAAATTGAACATACAAATATTTGAACACAAAAACTGTTTTAGAACAGGATTACGTGTTAATTCTATCAATTCAGTTAACATTAAGATGATCAGTATTTCTATTAATACACATCATTTTCTTATAAAACTGATTTCTACAGACATCAAATTTCTTTTAGTTTAATATAAACTTTAATTTGAGAATTTCATACAATGAATTTTGGTCCTATTCAGACCTCTTTCTTTATCTTCACCCTCATCCTAACACTAACCCTATGTGTCTTCTATTTGCAAATGAACAACCTTGTTCATCTTACACAATACATTTGAGCCGGGTACCAGAGAAATCATGTTTCATTAGTGTTGTAAGTGACCTATGATTCTTACATTCAGGTATGCCAAAGTAAACGCCCACTCCCTTTCCTTTGTATGTGGTTTTGGGTCAGACTACACCAAGGGTTTTTTTGAATGAAATTTTCACTCTTAATTTCTGCTTCTCTTACACACTGCTTAGCAATGCCAAGGAAGGATTTCTCCTTTTTCCTCAGAGTTTGGAAGCACATGTTTTTCTTCCTCAAAGTTAGCTGCTTGCAGGTTACACTTATACTGTTTCCAGTCCCCATTCAGCACAATGACCCCACTGCAGACCAAGGTATTCTCCAACAGACTGATTCCCCTTAGGCTTTCACTGTATGTAAAAAGGGAATACCCAAATCTGTGATGGGTACTAAGCTGCCAGGTACCTTACAAGTATGTGCAATAGGGACTTAATGCATCACGATTCTCACTCTATCCTCACCTCTGCCAGCACAGAGAACCTGACATGTGGGACCTGCCATCCCAGAACTTACTCTGTCACAGACTATAAAGATTCTTTTCTCCTGGGGGTGGTAACCTATATTAGCCTTCCAAAACTACAGAATGTAAACGTTAACCAAGGAAGATCTGGTACTCACTTCGCAGGAGGGCATTCTGGCGGAGGAGGGGGTGTCTAATTTAATTGAATCATAGGAAATATGATAAAATCAATAATGATGAGCTGGTGTATTGAACCATAAAGCTATGAATATATTAAAGGATTATTCCAGCAATAATGATAAAACAAGAATTGGACTGTTTCATAGTGAAATGACAAACAATATTGTTTGAGCAAAACCATATTCATGTAAATAATTTGAATTATAGCAGTCAAATGTCACTACCACCACACTCATGAACTACTTGTTGTTGAATGAAAACTGAGGAAGATATACTGTGTGCATCAGGCAGCTACATTCCTGTTTGCGAGAGGTCCAGAGGCAACTCATACATGAGACAAGTAAGATGATGTTGGAAAACTGTGGATGGTTGGATTCTCCCAGTTACGTGTTAGAGGAACTCCTAGACATCAGCCCTGGAGATAGGGTACACTATTGGGTTAGTAGTCTGAAGCTGTTCACTAGACTTACTAGACCCCACCAGAGGTGTCATTTATTGTGAGTTTATATCCTTTCTGTGATCTTTGGCACCATACAGAAGAATCAATGCTCATGAAAATATTATGAATATATTAAGAAACCCACACCTTGCTATGGTAGATGTTTCTTCTGGTGCCCCTTCTGGCAGCCCAGAGACCTTCTTCACTCCCAAAGGAACACTAGTCAAGAATTGCTTTTGACTTTGTTTTAATCTAAGCAGGTAGACATGCTATTGCTAAAACCTCTTGATATACCTGGATAAGCATTTCAGGTATTGCCAAAACTCAGGTAGAAGAGATCTGGAAGTGGGCTTACCAGTCACACAGTAGAGCCATCGGAAGGAGCCTACTTTTCCTTCTTTGGCAACTGCTTACCTGGATTAATTTCTCAGATTCTGGATTAGGTAACTATGACAGGCAGACTGATCATCATCCTTGCAACGGTAGTTTCCTCAGGTGGATTGAAATGTATTTTGGCTGTGGTTCAATGGTGTTTCATTGACATTGTTTCAGTTCAGTCCTTACACAAATCTGATGAGAATATTTCATCTCCAAACTTGGCAGGTATAAAAAGATTTACTTCAGAACACTTGTCTGTGTTACCTGGCCCAACTAGCTACCTATACCTTTTATGTATATATGTGTGTGTATATATTCTTTCATCCATTCATTGTTGTCCTTGGGATTGTTTCCAGTGCCTGTGGGTACTAGGTAAACAAACTACCACTGAACTATAGCCACAACTCTCTGCATATTTTGAGATAAGGGCCAAAGCTGGCTGAGCTTCTTTGTAATCCTCCTTATAAGCATCAGGCACTTGAGTGCTTTAGCCCAGAACTTCCTATTTTCCCAGGGAATTTCATAGAGGATAATGTTTTATGAGGTTCTTGAGAGGAGCCTAGTGGAGCAAGTGAAGTCGTGACTCTTCTCTACAGGCTTTCCTGAGGTCTGCAGAACTCACTCACTATGAATGTCAGGCCTCTGTTTCCCCTTAATGCTTATCTGTGAGTAGCAGATCTGCTTTATGTAACTCATATTGTGGATGAGTTTTTCTGTTTCATCAGAGTCGGAAAAGTTTGTAATCAGTGTGCAGTGAGTTTATGTCATGTGAGGTAATGCATAATATATATAAAATTCAAACAACTGAAGAGCAAGAAACCAAGTAATTTGATTTTTAAAATAAGCCAAGGTCTAAAATGGACTTTTCTCATGGTAAGCACACAAATGGCCAACAGGTATAAGAAGTAAAATGTTGACTATCATCAGTCAGAGAGACAGTAGTGGAAGAACAATGTTTCTCCATGTATATGCGAGAAAGTGCTCTTGAAAAGACTGAAGGTAAAAACTGCTGGTGAGGCTGGGAAGGAAAAGGAAACTTCATTCTCTTTCTGTGGGAAGGAAAGTGAGCGCAGGCATTATGGGAAAACAGCATGAAGAAGTTCCCCAAGAATGAGAAATAGAAGTGCCATAGGGTACCTTCATCTCACTTATGGATACTTAGGCAAAGGAATGAAATCTATTTAAGGATCTGACTTCCCCTGCCTGTTGTAACACTGATCATAGTAGTCATGATATAGAGCAAACTAAGTGCCCATATTTGGATGAATGGGCAAAGAAAATGTGGTATTTTTAAAAGAAAACAAAACCTATTCATCTCTAA